TGTGTGTGTGTGTGTGTGTGTTTATGTATATATGTATAATAGCTGTGTGTGTTTGCTTTGTCACCAACAAGCAGTTAGAAGGAGAATGATAGGTATGCCAACCAACCAGACTGACTTTGCATAATCATCATGATCTGCCAACATATCTGTTGCTGCAGATGTCACAGCTGATCAGAAGTCGCAACGTTCGTTCATTAAAGTGCGACCTGAAACTCACCAAGGATCCCATGCGACGCAGAGTGAATTAGCATAGGTTGAGTGTTTTTCAGAGTTCCCACCAGTGTTTTTATTGCTGCAGCGTAGGTGCTCTAAATGGTACGAGTAGATAAAACATTGAGCTCGACGAAGAGTAACTTCCAGCAGGGTTGGATACTAAAGGATCTGAAAACTTCACGTTCTTTGCATGTTTCCTTTAGGTGCATTAACTTTTATCTTAACACATATTATTTTGCTGTATACTATTTAATTTCTCACATACCATATTTTTCAGACTATAAGTCACACCAGATTACAAATTGCATTAAGCATAGCTACAACATTTTCATTGATTTTTGAGCACCAATCAGTTCGAGGTCAATAAGCACAATCAGAATTAATACACAAGGTGCACCGGATTATAAGGCTCACTGTCAATTTTTGAGAAAATTAAAGACTTTGAAGTGCGCCTTATAGTCTGAAAAATATGGTAATATCTGCACAAAAGTATTTGGTCATCCCTTATTTATTTGTCTTTTCCTGATTTATGTTTGGGCTGCTTTTTGACATACCATATTATTTGACGTTAGTGTTTAGCATATATCTTAGATCTTTTAGTGCATTCGTTTAGCTTATGTCTTACATCTTTTAAAACTGTTGCTTTTTATACTTTATGTTTTTGCTAATTTGGGATGTAACTGGGACCTTGGGTATACAATTTTGTTTCCTCATGTACCACATGTGATGCAAATGACAAACCTTGAACTTGAAGTAGCCAAAATATCTTTCCATCTGGTCTGAATCAGTCACTGGAGTTCTGGAGGTCTTTCAAATGTGTTTTTTCTTCCTTCACTCACTTTTACTTCAACTAGTTTCAAATGTTTTTTCAACCCATGTAACTCTGACCTAATCGTTCAGACATTACAAAACAGACTTGTGATCAAAAAATGTACCTGTGGTGTGTTGAAATCATAAAAATAGCAAATAATCTGTTTTAAATGGGATCTTTAACATTTGGTTTCTAGTTTGTCACACACACAAAAAAAAATTTGTTCACATTTCCATTGCAGAGAAAAACAAAGCATAACACAGTTTTACAGACAGAAAGTGGGATTATTAGTTACATGTCATTAGCGATCAACTTAAAGATGATGCATCTCTCAGGTTCTGAGTCAGGTCTTTGTAAGACGTGACTCTCAGGTATTGTTCGTGTTGCAGGACATTTTGGACCAAGACGGAAGGAGCTCATAAGCACAACTTCTTTTAGAAAATATAAAAACAAAATGCAGTCAAAGAAGCAAAAAACTAAAAAGGATCTTGAGGATACAAGAGCAGAACAAGGAGGAGAAGCGTGACGTGGTGTGTGAACACATGCAATGCTCAGCTGAGGGCTGAATATTTGCACAGGAGGCTGAGATAAGAAAGGGCTACATCTGTGACAGGTGCACACAGTGCAGGTATGAGTGGGAGTGGCAGGTGGACTGAAGGCAGAAGCTGAACTGAGGAGGAGTGAACTGGTCGTCCCAAAGGACTGAAAACTGCAAACACAAGTATCCAAAATCACAAAACACAATAAATCTTAACGATAAAAACCCAAAAGACTCTAAACAAACCAAGAGAAAACACAGTCTGACTGTTTTTCTGCTGTTAATAGATTCTTTTAGACCTTTCTTTTTAGACTTACCTTGTCCACTTTCTCATTTTTTAGTACTTTTAAGCTCAATATGGTTCAGATAATAGAATAGAGTAAAAAAAAAAAAAATAATCAGCCCAAAAAGCAGCAAGAACAAAACAACATTGAAAGTCCTTTAAAAAAAATCTGAAGCGCAAGTGATTAAGACAACATTAAAAGATCACAAGACATTCTAGCTTCTTTGAATCAAACTTTGATACCATTTAAAAGTTTTTCACATCACCCAAGAAGCCATGGGCTGAACTTTAACGTGTTAAACTAATTATTTGAATCATTATTGTTGATAATAACATTGATTTCCAGCCCTGTCCTATAAAAAAAAAAAAAAAAAAGTGGCTTTTGTCATTCCAGTTATTTGTCACAAACCTGCTGCATGACTTTGATGTAACGTGTTTGTTGGTTTCGACTCACCAAGCACAACCAGATTCCAACCCTGCATCGTTCCCATGCCAATGAAGCAGCGTTGCACCTCACTTCACCAATTATGCCCCCATTTACCAAAAATATATTAGAGTAACAGATAATCACATAGAGCAAAAATGTTTTCTAAAATACATTGCTGTTATGTGGATTATTCTTTTTTAAATTATTATAATTCTGATGTTCCAATAAGGTAAACTCAGCTTGAACAGAAACATAAAGATTTTAATTCAACATTTTGGTTTAGTTGGTCACTTAGTTACCTCAAATGTCAGAAAATATGTGTCATTCTTTTAAAGATGGGATTACTGTGCAAGTGTAGTGTAAACCTCAAAAGGCTCTTATGCTGTATCTTCTGCCATCTGGTGGCCAATTTGTGTAACAACATTTCATTAGTAGAAAAACACATTGTAGTTTTTGAATTGTGACGCCTCATTCATAAGCTTTAGTATTTATAGCTGCATGTTTTATTGTGTGTCTGAGATTGAACGGTTTTTTCTGGGGTTTTCTTCCATCTATGGTTTGCTCTTGTCTTTATATTTTTGTTTCTTTCTGCAGCAGCATGTAGCTTGCTGAAGAGAAACAAACCATACACATTTAGTGATGAAATAAAGTTCACCTGACTGCGTTTGTTGAATCTGTGATAAGTAATTTTTCCTGACTAACACTAGAGTATTTTTTTTTTTTGGCAATATCAGCTTTAAAGTATCCATAATATACTGGTTGCTATAGGTTTCATTTGTAACCTGACTTTTTGAGGTGCACATGGTGTCATGCTTTGATAGAGCAGTTAACTTAGGCTTTTCTTTATTGAACTTGTTATAGTTATAGTTTGATTATTGGTTAGAAATCACAGATTTAACTATTATTTTCATGATGTATCTTAGGTGTCAGGGTTCAGAGCTAAAATGTTCACAAACAAAGCCCCATGAATCCACTGATTATTGTGCTCAGAACTGTGTAAATATTTAAAACACCCCCATTTTTTCTTCATATTTTCATTTCCAAGAAGCTAGAATTTTAATATATTAAGTGTTATTTAGTAGTTCTTCAGACTTTATGAAAGTTTTTAATTATTATTAATTTTTTTTTTGTTAGACTGGGCTGTTTTTTTTCCTGGCTCATCTTAAGTTCAGCAACCATGGTAACCATAATAAGCAGTATGTATTAAAAAAACAAACCAAAAATAAAAAATAAAAGAACAGGAGGACACAGAACCTAGTTGCATTGTTTTTACTATATGCTAAGTTGATGGCCTATTGCTCTTTAAATTAACATACTGATGGTGCTAAGATACCAGTTTTAGTCTGAGATGTTGTATTATCTTTGCTATTTTTCAAAAGTTTATCCAACAAAATTGGATAAACTTTGTTTTTTTGTGACATGCAGCGAATGTTAAAAAAGTATGATAAGTTCTAATTTATCCCCAATACAGTTTTCTTCAATGTGTCACCAAAACACTGATTTTAGACTCTGAATTATATGTGACTTCATCAACATAATAATAAAGAAAAACAAACAAACAAAACAACCATAAAAATTATTTCAGAAAGGTTATGGATCAAAGACTGAAAAGAAACTGTAAAGAAAACGAGGGCTGATTCAAGACTTTTGCACAGTAGGCCACCGTATAAAAACTGAATTAACAAATGTTTCAAATTCATTAGAACAATTTTCATCCCAATTATGGGAATTCTGGCAATAAGGGCATTTTTATTTGTAAGTTCTTGCATTTAAAGTCTTATACATTGTTGTGCAGTGCTCATTTAATTTTTTACCTTTTTACTAACTTTAAAAATGCAATTTCACTGTAGTCATACAAATGGCATAATTCTATTCTATTCTATTAATAAAATACAAAGTAATGCATTTTCATTTGTCCAATTCTCGTTAGTTTGTACTGTATTCTCAAGTTAAAAAGGAATAAAGTAAACTTTCTATTGACTTAACGTTTACCTGCGATTTTCTTTTAACTCTTCAAAATAAATAAAATGAAAATAACAGAAAACAGTGTTCGATATCTATTTAAAACATACTTGAGATTGGTGTGATGCTACGCCTATAATATTATTTTTTATTGATAATTGTATTTTGATAGTTAAGTTAATTATTTCTGAGTTTCAGTCCAGCAGCTGAGAGAGCGGTGCTCCTGACCGGAAGTTAGCTTTTCCAGACAGGAAGTTGTCGGCGGTGTTTTTGTTGCTAGTGGGGACTGTTGTGTTGTGAAAATGGCGACGCCTCGTCGCTCCTCTCAGCAGCAGCAGAGCTCCCAGCTGTCTTCACCGCCCCGCGGGGCCTCTCTCCCCGCCACCCCGCCCGGCTCTCCCCCGGCTCCTGCCGAAGATGCCACCCCGCTTCCCCGCGGCTTAGCGGTAATGGAAAGCGTCGCTGACGGTGAGGCAGCGCCGACCTCTCCCACCACCACCTCCCCAGCTTTGGCCCTCACGTCCAGCAGCAGCAGCGGCGGTAGCAGCGCTAGCTCCCCGACCACCACGGAGGGGAGCGAGTCCAGTCCCGGCTCCACGCCCGACTCCAGCGGCTGCAACCCGGCTGTAAACCCGTGCAGCGGCGGGGCTAACGGGGCTTTCAGGGAGCTGTTTGAAGCCTGTCGAAACGGAGACGTTTCCAGGGTGAAGAAGATCGTGGATGCGGTGAATGTGAACGCCAAAGACATGGCTGGGCGCAAATCAACGCCACTGCATTTTGCTGCAGGTAAAAGCAACAAATACAACACTTTTAAACAAATTCAATCAGTTTGGGCTGCTGAAAGGACGCACAAACAGGATGCAAACCGTAGAACGGGATTTAATTTATCAAACAATGTTAGCAAACATACAAAGTGATAACATTAAGTCCAATAGTATTTGCTTTTATTAAGTTTAAACTTTAGATTGGCTTGCTTTATATATATATATATGTATATGTATATATATATATATATCAATTTAACATTATATCACCTAAATCTGACTTTCTTTATTGTAATCAGATGCAGTTTTAATCAATTTACATGTCTTGTCCTCAGTCTCGTCTGAGTTTAAAAGCAGAGCATTAAGGCTCATCCAGGTCGTTATGTCTTTAAGATATGTGGATTCATTGGGCTTCATGGACAAATATAACTGTATCATCAGCACAACAATGAAAATGTATCCCATGTTGTTTAATAACTTTGCCTAGTGGAAACGTATATAAAATAAAGAGTATTTGTCCAAGCACTGAACCCTGAGGAACTCCATGGCTAACTTTGGTGTATGAAGAAGATTCTTTACATTAACAAACTGGAATCATATTCAGATAAATACGATTTAAACCAATTTAGAGCTGTTCTTATAATCCCAATATCATATTCAAGTATCTGTGTGATTAACTGTGATTAACTGTATCAAAAGCAGCACTGAGGTCTAACGGTTTAAACTGTTTAGGTTTAAAGTTTTATAAAGTTGCGTAGTGTTGAAAGGCATACAGATGGCTTGTTGAGACAGTTTGTCCTGCAGCAGGTACTGGTAAATTATCTCAATGGGACATATCAAATTGCATCCAGAAATAAACGCTCATATGCAGAAAGATAAGAGCGCATCGATCAATAATGGAACGAAAAAAATAGATAAATAGCCATTCTTGAATAAATAAATCCTCCACCAGACTCTGTTGCATGTTGTTCTTTAACCAATTTAAAACAGCAACCATGTAAACAGCATGCACATCTGTTTTACATCTGCTTTCTCAATAGCACTCGCTGCAATGCAATAAAGACCAGTCACACAAAAAAATTAAAGTAAGAAATAAAATTTGCACGGTTTTTTCCTCACACTGATTATTTTTGTGCCCTTAAATAAAAAAAAGAAAAGACGTAAGTAAAATTAGTGAAAAGATGCCGTCTACCACATGCGCTTGTTTACCTGCAGAAACAGCCGAAAGGACTGAAAACAGGTTACATGGAAGAGATGTTTGAGTTGGACAAGTCAAATTATTTTTGTACGCTATAACGATTGGATATGTTGAGGAAAATATTCAGAAAACCAAACCTGCATTTCAGAATTGCATATCAGTACATCTGGAGGAAACCCTTTCGAACTGCACCATTTCATACCTCAGGATAACTTTTCATGTTTGATTTTATAGTTTGCAACAAGTCCCTTGAAAAGTAGTATTTCAAATACCAAATCTGACCATACAGCCGAAGCATTAGTCTTTTCTGACTGCTTTTGTTTCAGGTTTTGGTCGGAGAGACGTGGTGGACCACCTGCTTCAGACGGGCGCCAACGTGCACGCTCGAGACGACGGCGGTCTGATCCCGTTGCACAATGCCTGCTCCTTCGGTCATTCTGAGGTCAATTGGAACTCCTAAATCCATTTAATATGTTAATACTTCCGCAAATAATAAAATATGAGACGGAGAGATGCCAAGTCTTAAAGTAATACTAGATTTAAGGACGTAGAAAGGTGATGCTGTGGTGTTACTATAAAATGTTGTGAATTCTCCTGTTGATCTGTAAAAATCTGGTCTGTAAGCTCAACCGACGGTTCTAAACATTTACTCTCACTCTTGCTTTAATATTCCGCTCGTGATGTAACAAGCGGATGCTAATGATTATCAGTGACAGTTGCAGTAATGCTTATCCTTTTGGTTCTTTATTATTAGAGATATTATTATCCATATCCCCATTAATTAAAGGATTTCAGAAGTTTGTTGGAACTCTCCCATAAAGTCTCACTGATATCAAGCAGCTGCTGAAGCGTTTCAGAGCCACACGCTCAGAAACGTTTTGTTTAAATGCATCTCATTGACGATTAGCTCATTGATCAATGGGACTGCACAAGCTGTAACAAGTTGCAACGAAGCTGCTTAGCTGAACTTTGGAAGCAGTTATTTATCTTGTCTTTTATTAAGGTTTATTTTTTAGCTTAAATTGGTGATACAATGTGGCAGCAGCACTTTAAGATGAGGGCTTTAAATGGATGAAGCATGGTAAAACAGTATTCAGGAATTTCCTAAAGACACAATTGAAGTGCCTGATAGGTCTGTCACGGTAACAAATTTTGCTTGGCGATAAATTGTCTCAGAAATTATTACGATAAACGATAATATTGTTTGAAATTTGACGATAATTAGTGATTGTCAAATTTAAGAAGAAATGTTGGTTAATTTTGTGTGTTGTACCCTCTTTTGACCACTGGATGGCAGTATAAGACCGTTAGAACTGAAGGATGGATAGTGAGGGAGCAAGCAGTGTGTCTCTTTAAGAAAAAGAGGAGGGAGACCTCTTGACGTGACATGGGCGGTCTCGCGTTCTTGTTTTTCGGTTCTCTAAATGGCAGACGCTCTGTGTGGTTTGAGCTCTTAAGCGTAGCATAAAAAACGAGATGGATAATTTTCATTTATCATGCGATTAATTGATTTATTGTTTATCGCAACAGGCCTAATTGAATGAACTACTCTGCTGAGTCTTTCAAAGAATCTGCATAGATTTATTCTTAACAAAATCAATTTTTACCATTTGAACATTGATTCAGAATATTCCATGTCTGCAGTGCATGTAAAAATAGATTTTACCTCATATTCACCTATTGTTTAGTGATTTAACAGTCACATCCTGGACATCTATTTCTGTGGTTTACACAAAATCCTATTTTTATTGAACTATTATTCTTTTTTTTTTACCATTTGTTTTTATAAATAAGACCTCAAGACCTTAAAGATTTTTGTCTAGCTGTGAGAAAGGAGTAATTTTAGGAGAAATGTGATGTATGTTTCTGTCAATCTTGTTTCAGGTGGTCTCCTTACTTCTGTGTCAAGGCGCTGACCCGAACGCCCGAGACAACTGGAACTACACACCGCTACACGAATCTGCTATCAAAGGCAAGATTGACGTCTGTATAGGTGAGCAACCAAAAACGTCCGCCTGCAGCTGTAAAAAAGCAGTTTGTCGTGCTTGTGTAGTGGTCTTATACTATACTGCCACACAAAATGTATGTTAACATATCTTAAAGAAGTTCAAGGTTTGGGGGTTTTAACTTGATTTCTTTTTTGCCCTCTAAATTTGAAGCAGTCGGTCGTTTGAGGAGAGCAGCACTCGTTGCCACGGCAGCACTCCAGTCTCGCGTCATTCCTTTGGGCACAATGAAAGCCCCCTGGCTCTGCCTAGATGTAAATACAGGGTCTCATTTTCATTGTTAAGGCGGTCGCTAATTTTTAGGTATTGAACTGTGCATTGGCATTTACTTTAAATGTGTTTCTGTTGCTGTGTGCGTGTGTGTTAGGAGGCGAACGTAATCACACATTGATTTTTGAAACCGTAATGAGCCACATACTTTTACCCCCTTCTGATTAAAAACAAAGCAACAAATATCCTATAAAATGCAATTTACTGTGCTAGTGCTTACACTCAGTTGCCACACATGAGGAAAAAAAACAAAACAAAACATTGATTTCTTAGTCTTACTGGGATTGCACATTAGGATTACAGAGGGTGGTTCAACAGCTTGGCTCGGGTGTCTGGAGCTTCGGTTTACAAGGGCTTCGGCTTTTGTTTGGACACATCTGACATCCCATCTAGTTATCTGTCAATCTGCAGCGGAATAAACGTGTCTGACCGGAGCAAGCTGTCTGACAACAGGACATTTCCAGAACAACAGGTGCACTTTGAGAAAGGATTATACTGTTTCAGTTACTGACAGCTTTGATCCGTAACTACAGATGTAGTATCAATAAGAAGTTCCTGCAGGATTGTCTCTTTTGCGTCCTTGTGGTTGGATGTGGTGCATATTAAACAAACAGCTGTCGTAATAGTGTCACTTTGCTGGAAGTGCTGAAAACAACAAAGAACTTTTGCTGTCTTTTAGTTTTGTCACAGTCGTTGCAGCTGAGCACTGCAGAACCCTGAACACTGCACAGCAACAGAAGGGCTTCTGGTCATCCTTGTTATCAAAGTTAATCGATTTATCATAATTACAAATTAGACTATGTAAAATGCATCTTCATTTATTTATGTTTTTTTTGTTGTACTAATGCTAACATTCCATTTTTTGAATATTACTTGAAATGAAAAGTAATTAAAATATCTCACTAAACTTTTGAAATATATAGAAATTAGAAAACAGAAATGCCCTTTTTTTAGTCTTTATGGCTGAATTTAGTTTTTTCTTCGGATATCCATGATCTACTGCCATGCTAGAATTTAAGCATGCTACGTAGCACCTACCAAGATGGTTGCACACATTCTTGCCTCGTTAACATAAGCTTCACTATGTTTGGTCATTCCAGAGTATTTCAATGTAAATAAACATGCAAATAATTGTGTTGTGCAAAATTTCTGGCCATGTAACGGGTTTTAAAACACCATTTAGTTAAGCCTGTCGCGATAAACAATAAATCAATTAATCGCATGATAAATGAAAATTATCGACCTCGTTTTCATTTATCGGCTTTGTTTCTTCGTGTCTCTCTCTTTCTACCGAAGACACCGGAAGACAAAAAGCTCAACTCCGGTGCTCTTCACTGACCCCTCCCTTTCTCTTTTTCTGTTTTAACCGTCCAAAATCGCATTTTTGGATGGTTAAAAGCAGCTAAGCTAACCGGCCAACCTCAGGGGATAAAACCTCCGTCTTGTCAAAGTTCCAAAATTCACGGTTGAAACCTGTGCCTTCTTGTAAAAAGTTTTTTTTCTGCAAAAAGAAGCACAAAACTTGTTTACTGTTTTTTTTTATTAAAAGCTTTGTGTGAAAAATGCTATGCTAAAGAGCTCAAACCACACCGAGCGTCTGCCATTTTGAGAACCGAAGAGAGACGGCTCATGTCACGTCAAGGAGCCTCCATTCCATTTTTCTTAAAGAGACACGCTGCTCGCTCCCTTACTATCCATCCTTCGGTTCAAACAGTCTTATACTGCCATCCGGTGGTCGAAAAAAGGTACTGCACTCAAAACAAATAAACATTTCTTCTTAAATTTAACAATGATTTGACAATAACCAAATTTCAATTGTTTATCACAATAATTTCTGAGACAATTAATCGCCCAGCAAAATTTGTTATCGTGACAGGCCTACATTTAGTCAAACAAATTAAATTGTTGAGATTGGAGTTGTTTTAGATGGTAGCAATCCTCTTCGATATTTCCTTACTTAGACTAAAGCTTGTCTGGTCAGAATTAATTTATATTTTTTCAAACTGAGGCCATTAATTGGACTATTTGCAACAAATAAGAACCTTTTCCCAGTAGATTATTTGATTGGTCATAACCTTCCCACAGTTTCCCTATCCAGAAAATCAGAACTATTGCTTTTCTGGAGTTGACAAAGTCAGTGTGTGAAAACTGCAAGGCTCGTGTTGATGATGCGTAATTAAAATGTTGTTATATGTTGTTCCCGTTAGAGGAAAACGAGAGCTTCGACTTCTAAACCATTATCTGATTTTGAGGAAAGGTGATGGCATAAAGTTGGTGTAAACATCAAATGTTTGAGGTCGCATTTCAAAGATGTGAGATAATGTGAAAATCTGGCCCCCTCAGGGCTGTAAGGTTCATCAGTGCTTTATTTCTTCCCTCTTCCCTCCGGCACTAAAATCTAGCATGCACATTTCTACTCATCACTCCTCTCCTGGATGTGAATGTCCTTGACTGCAGTAAAGGGGGGGGGGGGTTTGGAAAATGGTTTCACTTTTTTTTTTTATAGTATTTTTGCAAGTTTAAAAAAAAAAAAAAATCAGGTTGTTTTCTTCATTTCACATTCTTTAATCACTGGGGAGGATTTTGACAAATCTTGACCATTTTTCTGCAAAATTATTTTAGTTAAACCATCACAGTCCTCTAAATCAAGCCAGTTTTTAATAAGTCTGCATTGTTTATGACTACACAGGCAAACTAAAGCATGCAAACAAAAAGAAAAATCTCTATACTTGCAGTAGGATTGTGATCTGGCCAGAGTTTTAGCAGCCTGTCGTCCTGCCAGGCTAAAGATTTAAGCAACAGATCGGGAGTTAACTCGGGACAAGCTGTCCTCATTGAATAAACAAATCCGTCGCCACAACTGCATCTTTTCAATCTTTTATTTTCCAGGATTTCTCCTGTTCTTGGCAAGATTGTTAAATATTTTTGATAAGCACATACATTCTGATTGGTGTCTGTTTGTTTCTCTCTACCCTGAAATCTCTACTTGTTTCTTTTTTTATTTATTTATTTATTTACATAATCACCTCACAATTATAAGAGCTGATGCTGATTGTTTTGCATAATCTTTTGAATCATTTTCCTTCACCTGTTTAAAAATAGCTACATAAAACCGCTAGCTACATCTTATACTCATCACTAATTCCACATCGTTTTCTGCTGTTAGATTAATTAATATAATATTTCTGGTTATAATGACAAAAGATACTATTGTGAAATGTGCATTATTTAAGCCACAACCCTAATGGGGAAAAGTTCTGAATGTCCTTAAAGCATTCTGTTAATGCCTCAGCTCATTTTCATTTTGTTGTTGATTACTTTTTGTCTTTAGTTTTTTTTTTTTTCCAAAGTCATTTGTAATGTAACCACAGATTCAAAGAGCCTAAGGGAAAATCTTTAAGCAGCTTGTTTTGCACATGAAAGATTTTAATTATTAGTTGTTAAAAAAAAGAAAAAAAAAGAAATGATGACATAGTTCCTATGATTCAGAAGCTAGGAGCTGCAAATAATTGGCATTTTAATTTTCAATGGAAAAAAAAGAACATCAGTTTTGCTTGATATTTATCTGCCAGTCTCTGATGAGACACTTTTAGAAAACTAGTCTATATATATATATATATATATATATATATATAAGTTTATTTAAATAAGCATCCTTCTGCGTTGTCACAAATATTGCTCTCTCCCAGAAGAGAGCAAATCTGACACTGTTACAAAAAACTAATCCTGCACCACAAAACAGGTTGCCGTACTTTCCGCCGTACACATCGCACTGCCTTATAAGTCGCATTAGTTCAAAAATGCCTAATAAAGTGGAAAATAACATAAATAAGTTGCATCTATTATGTGTCACTGCTGATCACCCGGATATGTGGACCGGCGTTGTGCCAAAAATCGATTGGCTGCCAAATGGAGGCCAAGGAAGCATGCACGGAAGGACTTTAACAAGAGTTCAACAAGATTAACACTTAAAAACAATTATTTGTTTGCTCGACATTATAGTAAAGGTGTCTCTCATTTGAACTTTTCCTTAATAAATGCACTTTAATGGTCAAATCAGCTGCATTTTGCCTGAGTGGCGCGGCAAAATTCAGCTGATTTGACTTTTGCTCCAGGAGTTCCAGAGCGAGACGAAGGTGACTCTATGGCAAGCCAAGTGTCTCATTAATAGCCACTTTTACCTATTAATGAGACACTTGGCTTACCATATTAGTTGAGTGCCCTCTAGTGGCTGCAAATGGTAGTGTTCAGTATTTTCCATGTCAGAGTGAATGAAATTGTCAGATCTCAACCAAAATTCGGGTTATAAATATTGAGAAAAAACGTATTTTAGTAGCTTCATTGTATAAGTAGCAGTACCTCAAATTTATGCAAAAAGGTGCAACTTATACAGCAAAAAATATGGTATTTATGTTGTTCAGTGGAGCTTTAGCAGCTATTATACGATCATTAAAGACAAACATGTACTCGGATTTAAAAACTATCTAAATAAAATAATACACCCAGAGTGAATTGTAAATAGCTCACCAGTTTTATTGTTGGTGAGTTGGTGTTACTTTTTTAGACTGTCATTCCTGTCTGCATCAGGATGAGCTGACGTTTACCTCTTCATCATGTGCAGATGAGGTGCAGGAGGAACAGCTGCAGAGCTAAATCATATTTTTGTTGCGAGGTGACAAATGTCTGCATAATTCTCAGTGCAGGATCATTTTTATTTGCTCATGCATGTGCGCATAATATACGCCTGGTCGTCTCCTTTGCTTCTCTAGTGGGTTCCAGCAGTTTAGTGTGAAGCGTGTCGGAGTCAAAGGGCATGTGCACAGGGAGCTGCTCAGCAGGCACTGCACTGGGGAGTGAGGTGGAGAGGAAGGCAGTGAGAGAATTGACATCGGTGCCCTCAGAAGAGCTAATTTACAACAAAACCGAGCGCAGGCAGAGTTTGTTATTCAGCTCATACCTGTTTGCAAGGCACAGAACTCTTCTCTTCTGAATCTCATCCCCCTTTCCCCTTTTCACCCTTTTCTTTCTGTTCTCCCCTCTCACTACTGTCTCCGTTTCAGTCGATCCAATCCCCTTGTTTTTGCTCTTCGTCCTCTGTCCTCTCTCTGTCCCCATCTCCTCCATACCTCTCTCTCTCCTCCCTTCCTCTCTTCTCATCTTCCTCTCCGCTGCATCGCTCAGTCAGTTGGAGAGGCGAGAGTCTCTCCACTCGCACCGCCTCGCTGCTGTTTACTGCTGCCGATGCCCCGATTAGCTGTAGTCTCCAGCCTCTTCCTCCCGCATCTGTTTGTATCCATCCTCTCAGTCTGCTCTGAAGCTTCACCCCCCTGTCCGTCTCGTAGGAGTGTGATGTGTTTTGTGGCTTGCCACATTGCCTTTCAATCAGGTTCACTGTGTTTTTTATTTGAATTTTTTTGCCGTGGCGTGTAGCTTTCACTGCCTCCCGTTGTGGCATGTCTGTTTATGTCAGCGGCATGGCTCGCGGGGCAGTTGAGGGCAGCCGGGGGAGCAGCACTAGCAACAGAGGAGGAGCAGCTGGAGGAGGAAAGAACCATGAAGCAGGACACACAGAAACGCTGCCTGGAGGTCCAGGAGACACGACCAGTGGAAGCAGAGGGAGAGCAGAAGATGAAACCGGGGAGAAAGGAGCAGGTTCAGGCAGAGCGGTTTATGGGAGAGGAGGAGCAGGAGGAGGAAGGGGACTGGGTGGAGGTGTTTGTCGAGGAGTTTGTTTGTCAGTTCAGGAGCTCAGCTACTGTCTGTGTCTGCCCTGTTGTTGTACAGTGTTACTGCAGCACGGAGCTGACCCCAACATCCGCAACACGGACGGCAAGTCCGCCCTGGATCTGGCTGAACCGTCTGCCAAGGCTGTGCTCACAGGTCAGTCCTACGACACACACACACGACATCCAGGCTCTCTTCGAATCACACGCTCTACATTTAATTTCAGTTTTATTCACTTTTCTGTTTCTGCGTATTTCCACATTATTTTCCCACAATTTTCAATCAGTTTCCTATTTTTTTTCAAGGCTGCAGGCTGTATCACCTTTTCGTGTTTGATCTATCACACGCTCATTTTGCAAGGCAGCACTTCTCTTGTACTCAGAGTGCACCGTACACGCTGTGGCCACAATATTTTTTATTAATATTTTGCTCTTTGCCATTTTCTGCAGCTTCAATGGTTCTGCTTTCACAGTTTTTTTTAGTTTTTTTTTTACTCTTTTTGGCTGAAACTGCTCTTATTGGTTAGTGACTCGATAACGCTATTATTGTGGTGTTTTTGTTTGTTTGCAATACTTTTTGTGTTCTCATGTTTTCCTCTCATGCTTGACTCACTCTTTTGAAATGCTGCAAACGTGAAGCAAAAAATACATTTAAAAAAAAGTTCAGAAATACACATTTTATTCATTGGTTTGTGTTTTGGGCCTGAAATATTATTACCACTATCATAGGCACCTGATTAGTGAAGAAATTGGAGCACCCTTCCTTGCAGGGGTGCAAACTGGTGTTTCTGCTCCCCCATTTTAGAGCAATAAGACAAAAGCAGGTGGAGTAGTACTATATTAAAAATAACCACCACATTTTGCATTTTGCCGCCTATCTCAGCTTTGAATTGATTCAGTCTAGTTAGAAGAGCACTGGCAAAGTTCAGCTGTGGAAATGTAAAAGAGAACTAATGTCGTTTTTTTAAGTATTTAAACTGTACTGCATTTTTTTCTGTCGCAAATCAAACACGATAGAGTAAAAACTTGAATGACATCATGTGAAAGTTATTCTCAAGTTTACTTAAAGTGGGAAATAGTCTTTCTCAAGTAAAAAAAATAAAGTAAATATGGCCTAAATAGAAAAGTTTTGTAATTGTTTACACTCGTTTTATTCAGTCATGGTTTGTTTAAAAAAAAAAAAACCTTGAGCTTTATGGGGTTTTGAGCTCAGTTCACCCAAATACAGTATATGTATAAAGGCATGACGCAATATCCATTACACACCATCCTGTCATATCGTGTCAGAGTCTGTGGTTCCCCCATTTTATAACACAACATGACTTATCTGTTGTTTATTCATTTATTTTTTTTCTCCAGGAGCACCCTTCCAGCAAAAAAAACCTATAAATCCATCACAGGGCTTGAATAGCCATCAAGAACCACTTAAATTTTTCAATAAATCTCATGCCTATTACTTGATCTTTATGGTGTTTTAATTGCACCTGAAAGCATTATTTTCCCCCAGCTCATAAAGTTCTCATTTATTACTAAATGCACAAAGCTTAGTAATAAATGTGTGTGAAATGTGTAGAATTCCCTATCACTTCTTTCAAAGGTAATGTATATAAACAACATCATGACCAACGATGCCAACCATTGCTGACCCCATTTAGAGATGTTTTGCTGTAGTTGTACCGTATTTTCCGCCGTACATGTCGTTCAGTCCAAATATGTCTAATAAAGTGGAAAAGTCCTTAAATACGTTGATTTGCCGTATACGACGCATCTATTATGTGTCACTGCTGACGCATCGCATTTGTTACGCATTGCGCTTGTTACGCGCCACTGCTGACAACTCGTATATGTGGGCCGGTGTTGTGCCAAAAATCGATTGGCTGCCAAATGGTAGCCGTGGGAGCGTGCATGGGAGGACTGTAACAAGACTTTAACATGATTAACACTTAAAAACAATTATTTGTTTGCTCGAAATTATAGTAAATGTGTGTCTTAGTTTAACTTTTGCTTATGCACTTTGATGGTCAAATCAGCTGTATATCAAAAGCCGATATGTGGAAGTAGGAACGCGCAGAGGGACAAGTCGCTGCTCATTTCTTAGAAATTTAGCAAGATAAGCACCTAAAACAATTATTTGTTTGCTCGACATTATATTAAAGGTGTGTCTCCGTTGAACTTTTCCTTAATAAATGCACTTTAATGGTCAAATTAGCTGCATTTCGCCTGGGCAGCGCAGTGAATTGAAGCTGATTTGATGGTTGCTCCAAGCGAGCAGAACAAAGGTGGCAGACTATGGCAAGCCGATTGTGTCATTAATAGCCATTTTTACTACATGACACAACAGCATGCCATACTACTCAAGTGCCATCTAGCGGCTGAAAATGGTAGTGTTCAATATTTTCAGTCAGAATGAATGAAAACGTTCATATCTCAGTCAAAAATTGGTTTATAAATATGTTGCTTCGGCGTATAAGACACAGGGTATGCAAATTATGCAAAAAACGCGACTTATAGGGTGAAAAATACGGTAAATCAAAAATATCAATGAAGTCATTGTTCCTTTTAAAATAGAGGAGGGACACGTGAACCATCTTTGTGACTGAAACTCCTGCCAGTTGTGCCTCAACAATAAAAACTCTTTCAGATTCAATCAAACCTTTTTTTTTTCCTTGCTTTTGTGAAACATTATCAGAATTACCCAGGTTGTTAGGAGTCTCATTGTGTGCATAAGTCCCCTGCCATCGCTGTTCTGTTTAGTCAGGCTTTCTTTTAAATTTCAACTTGTTTAAATAACGACGAGCACTAATTACCTAAACTATCATTCTGCCATGCTTTGTGCCATTCTGGAGAAACCTTGTAATTGTAATTACTGTAGGAGGTGATGCGTTTAATGCAATGTTCTTAGAGACTTTATTACTGGAGAAAGAGTCAAAGTTTGTTAAAAGCTGTAGAAACTTTTAGTCAGGCTATTTGAGTTAAAACATATGGTAGATGCTATATATAAATATAGGATGGGTATGATTATTTGCATGGTCTGTCTTCTGTTTTACTGTAAAGAGCTGCTTGAGCCTCTTCTTTCTTGTCCTTCATCTGGAGTTTGAGGGGCTTTGCTCTGTTCTTCCTCTCTGCCGCAAGCCAGCACAGCTTCCAGCTTCCGTGTGCGACGATGAAAGCTTACATTGAGCCATAAATTAGCTATACTGCTCAGCAAAATCCAACAAGCTGTTCTCAAAATGTTAAACTATATTTATTGTTAGAAGTGGAAAATAGAGTAGGAAAAAAAGAGACTTGTTTAAAGGTATTTTAAAGCGTCTATGCTGGATGCAGTTGAACATCATCAATCAGGTTGAGCATCAGAACAGTACAGAGCGGTGTTGACTTTGTTCAGGCTTTTACTCAGGTGGTTCCCTGAAACGCTTGGCTTTTTAACGTCTTTACACAACCAGAGGTTTGTTCAGACTGCTGCTTCAGTCTGCTGCATCAAACGCGACTGCTATTCATGTCACACCGAAGGAATAGACTCACGAGCGCAGCTCCCATTCTCATGTCAAGTATTTGATGACAAGATATACCCCAGAGATGTGCTTCGTAGAATAGTTTGCTGAAGTACTTCGCTACATTGTTGATCTGGTGTGTTGGGATTTCATGGTGGACTAAAGGCCATCAGTGTTGCGCTGCATTACAATTTGGCAATAACTGTATCAAATAAGAGAATAAGAAATAACTGTATTTGCCCACACTGCCAAAGGTATCAAAAGCTGGCTATGTAATATTCTACTTTTCTGAGACGCATGCTTTTGATTTTTCATTATTTGTAAGCTGTAATCATCAAAATTACAAGAAACAATTGCTTCAAATATTTCACCATGTGTAATGATTGTATTTAATGAGTTTCACTTTCTTCAATGATTGACAAAAACAATTGAACTTTTTCACAATATTCCTATTTTTTCAATCACTTTGTAGGATATGGCTTAAAGATCAAGTAATTTTTTGGAGTGGCATGAATTAATTTTTTTTTTTTTTTTTTTTTATATTTAGGTATTGTTTTGGAACTGTTGCATAACTTTTTATGTTTTGAACATTAACACTTAGCCACCCCAGCATCTCCTTTCAAATGCTATTATCTAATGACATAAAACTGTATTTGGTCTGAGTCATGTTTGTTAGACTGAAGCTTTGAAGAGCTTCTTCATATCATCAAAACCAATCTGGATTTGATCTGTTGAAAACACTTGGACAAAACAATGCCTTCAAATATAACTTTAAAGTAAATAACTGCATATATTTCCAAGCTGTGTTGCATTTCTACATCTTTAAACTTGCCAGTTCAAACATTGCCTTGGCATCTGATGCATGTATGAGTGAAGTTTCTAAAACAAAATGACACATTGGTTAAAAAAAAAAAAGACATTAAATCTATAAATACATCGCTTTGGCATATAAGTCGTAGGGCATGCAAGTTATGCAAAATACCACGACTTATAGCGCGAAAAATACGGTACGTTATTTAGAAAGGCTGTACAGTAACTGACCATAATCTTCAGTTTTGACATGGTGGCATTGCGTAGCACTGTATATTTAGAGCAGTTGTGCACCAAACAGCCTGGAAAATCATTTCACCAGTCTGTGTTTTAAGTAAAAAAAAAATAGTAATGATGTGAGAAGTCTCAGGGGAGCTAACATGGGGCTCACCGGGAGAACCTTTCTTTACATCCATCGTCTCTGTCGGCGTCGATTGATCTTTTTCTGCTTTTTCAGGACAGAAAGCAGTGATTAGGACACTTTCATTAAGTTGAGTCTGACCTTGAAGACTCTTGGATCTCATGATCTCTCTGTCGTTTTTTTTTTTTTTAACCTCATCAATTATTCTGCTATTTAATTAGCCTCCAAGTACAGCGTTTTCTTCCTCTGTTCCTCTTCGTTCTATCACTCAGCCTCCACTCTCCCTCTCTTTTTCTCATGCAGTTCAAGCTTTTTTGGTCTTATCCACTGAGGCCTATATTCAGTAATAAATATCACTGCCAAAACATGAAAAACTGATCTTTAAGGATATCTGTTGTTTTGCTGAATTTCACCAAAATGCTGCAATTTTAGTAACAAACGATGGATGCCAAAAATATCCATCTGCCTCTGTTGAGGATAATTTATGTGTTTAGG